TATATACATATATATATATACAAACAAATTACGTATTTCTATATATTCGTGGTAACCCCTCTAAGACCATTGTGTATACAAGCGTGTCTGTGTGTGGGTGTGTATGTATGCATGCATGCATACAGATAGACACATAGGTAGATGAATGGATAGATGGATGGATGGACAGATAGATAGGTAGATAGATAGACAGATAGATAGGTAGACAGATAGATAGAGCAATGAACAGATGGAAAGATTCTGATAACTAGATAGATAGATCGATACATAGATAGGTCGATAGATAGATAGGTAGGTAGATGGTTAGATAGACAGGTATATAGATAGATAGACGGATAGATAGGTAGGCAGATGGATAGATGATAGATAGATAGATAGATAAATAGATGGACAGATAGGTAGATAGGTAGGTAGGTGATAAACAAATTGGTAAAAACCTTATTCTTATACTTACTGTCTATGTTACCAGTAACAAAATGCTGCGGCATGGCCATACTTCAGCGTGGGAGCCTGGGTTCCCGGGCACTTAGGGCCTTGCGATCCACTCCGGCCAGGGCCAGCTGATCCAGGTCGGTAAAGCGGAAGCCCTTGCGAGGGCTTCGAGGGTCCGAGGTGTAGACAGGGATGAGGCTTCGGCCGGATAGAATAGCTGCAATATTTCGAGTAGGGGTCTCCTGCTGATCATTATTATATCTATTCCGACCCTGGTAGTGGAAGGTTTCCGGTGGGTTTCGGGGTCTGTTTCGGAGGCTGGAAAGTTGGTCTCATAGTAGGGGTCAGGATTAGGTTTCAGAGGTCTCGGACTGGAGATCGGAGCAGGAGAGGCATGTTCCTTCCAGCCTCGCAGAAATCCATGATGAATGCTCGTCTCGACACACGTCCTGAGAGCCAAAGCAAAGGCATAAGCCATGGAGCAAAGATCGACATGAAGATTCCCGTGGATCATTTGCTGCAGAAAGGCCGTGAGGAAAGTTAGACAGAGAGAGACCGACAGAGAAATTACTGACGGTGGCTCCTTCGATTTCTGATGGCACGATTACGTCCACCCCGGCATCGGCCATGCCTTTGCGAACCTGCAGCCATGGTCAAGAGCAAAACGGCCTGTTTAACAGCAACACGAGGAAGCATCGCAGCTTTCAGTTCGAACGGCAGTGCCGAGTGGGTCTTTCTTTCAATGTGCACGCGGCCTTGCCTCCTGCAGGTTTTCAACCTGGCCAAATGACCGCTCAACCGTGGTTCCAACAGACTTTGGAACTTTCCAACGGTATCACGGGCTACTACAACGGTTGCTAGACTAGAGAAGTTACTAAGTCGGTTGCTATAAGGGCTACTAGAAGCAGGTTACTCGAAGTGTATCGTATACGGTTACTACGAGCACCTCGCGGTGGAAGTCCAGCTCGTGGATCATCTCCTTCATCCAGCCCTCAGTGACCTGCCTGGCCATTTAGAGACTTGTTCCAGCGGTAGGTATAAAGGTATCCTAGGCCATAATGGTATGAAACAGCTACTATGTGTTACTATCAGGGTATTCCAGGGTTACGATGAGGCTATCATACGGATACGGCAAGGGTCTTCAGGGGTTGCTATACGGGTATCACTGTGTTGCTATCTGATGGCAAGCGGTTACGACACCTTTGTCTGGAAATCTAACGCGGCCCCTTGGGCAGTGCGGGTAACATCTCTCCGGTGCAACTCTCATAACTGCTAGATTCATCTCACAGGCATCGGAGCAGGCGAAAGTCGTACACCGCCATCATGTTCAGAATCGAAATTCAAGCAGGCCAGGCGAGCTTGATCTCATCCCAGTCATTCCCTCCGAGCCAGCAGGTGAATCGCAGAATGCGCCTGTGAGCTCCGAAATGCATCAGCTCTTTCATGTCGCCTGCTAGGCCAACATGCACCAAACTTCTACCAAGTGTCAGGCTTTAGTGCAGTCAAGTCCAGCAGCATCATCCTTGGTGTATCGACTTTGCTCGCAGGACGGGAGGGACAGGAAGCAGGCTTCTATGCAGCTCGCGACTGGAAACTAAGAACGGAGCGGTTCGACACCCTCGTGTTGCAGCTTCACAGCCACCTTGTCACTGCAGCGCAAAGAAGAATCATAGATTCTGCGGGAGGGGCTTGCACCTGCTGACCCGTTCCTTTCATCCGCGCTTTGTGTACCTGCAGGAGGACATTTGCTGGTTTGTCTGCACGGCAAAAACTTCGCTCTCCGGATAGACTAAACTATTATAGCATTTCACGGCATCGTTCGACCATACAATGAGCACGAGATCTCACACTTGGACAAAGTCATGCGGTAGCACGCGGTATTACGGTAGAACAACAGCAATTAACATGCAGCCATCACGAACAGCATCACTTACAGTATCGATAAGTCAGGTCGGACAATTTGCAAGCACTCCGGTGCGTTGCATTACCATTCCCGTCGGATCATGCATTCGGTCTCAAAGCCACATGACACTTCAATATGAATGGCATATATATATATATATATTATCTCTGTCTCTCTCTCTCTCTCTGGGCATTCGGTGCTACCCGCCTGCGCAATGCTTGCCGACGCAACCGGCTCGAATTCGAACTCTTCAAAGATGTCCTTCGCATCGAAACTGAGGGTTTGGTACAGGGGTTCAGGGGTCCAGGGCTTAGGTTCTAGGTCCAAGCAGCTTCAACAGCGTTAGTGGCTGGAGTTATATGGGCATGATCTAGAGAAGGCAATGCAAGCTGTCGAGACTCCTGATCGCTGGCACACAACAGCGGCCGCTAGTCTTGATGTCAGAAGTCTGCTTGTCAGAGGCGAGGGATGGATATTTTACAAGAGTCGAAGAAAAGTATCCCCTGATTCTGCTAGGGCAACCCCGAGAGGGGACTCGTCAATGCTAACCCCCGCAAATCGAAACAATGGAAAAGAGACTCAAACCCTAAACCCTTGCTGTAACCTTTGAGAACCCTTTCCAGGAACCCGTAATTGTATCTAACTTAAATCATAGGGACCTTAATATTATGGTTTATTTAAGGCATATTTTTTAATTAAGGGGTCTTGGGCTGCAACCTTCTGATAACCCGTATAGTAACCCCTTGCAGGAGCCCTTCCTCAACTCGAAACCCTCGGCAAGAATGCCAGGTGCTCCTGGAAATCTGAGCCGAGCTCGGCCTCGCCGGTGTTTAAGGGTTTAGGGCCAGTTTAGGGTTTCTGGGTGTTGGGCTTAGGCTTAAGATTCAAAGTTTAGGCTTGAGGCTGTCTGAGGTTTTGGGTCTAGGCACGGGGGTAAACCCTAAACCACGAGGGTTTGGCAGTGTGGTCGAGAACTGGCGGAAAGAGGACTTCCGAAGCTCCTGCCTCCAGCAAGGACTTCACATAGGTGTCTGTGTCCCTGGGGGCGCAGTCCTGTCCCAGTAAAAGTCGCCGCCCAGAGAAACGGGATGCAAGCCCCAACAGCTGTCAGAGCATCATGCCAGATCTGCAAGGTCTACTCTACCTAGTCTCCATTGTAGTTCCTTTTTGGGGTTACCTTTTGGGATCCTTATTATAAAACTGGTTAAACCAAAAAAAGGAACTACAATGGAGACTATAGGTAACCCCTAAACCCGAAACTCCTGCAGCTTCTTCAGCTCCTGCTGCCAGACCTCTGCACTGCAGTCTGCAACACAACGGCCAGCTGCGGAAACTCCGAGGGGCCGACGATGGGCGTGGCTGCCATGTTCGCCATCCATTGCCCTGCCTTCACGAAGAGGCCTCCCAATGCCTGGGGCATGTTCCTTGAGGGGATTTGGGTTTGGTTTTGCAGCATGAAGATTGCAAAAACGGCGGCTGACCAGTGTCCCTGTCGACGTTCAGCCACTGCTCAGCAGAAATCCGTCAAGCTGAGAAGGCTGCGGCAAAACGATTCCCCAAGAAGGGTGCCACAATTTTGTCCGCTGGGTCCTGAAAATCGCAAGTGGCAGTGGTTGGCTTTAAATGGTTACGGTTTTGCGTTTACGCTTCAGGCCCTTCAGGCACGATGCATGCAGGCTTGGGACCCAACGTACATCCAATCTTGCGCCTGCTGCGCAGACAGCTTGAAGACCTTCCGGGCATTCTTCGGAGGCGCTGCTAAAGCAGCATACATTGTGAGAACTGTTTATGTAGTTCTCTCTGTCTGCCTGCCCGGATGCCTGGCTGCCTGGACGTCGCTGTCTCTGTCTCGTCTACCTGTCTGCCTGCCTGTTTGGCTGTTTGTGTCGGTATGCATTCGTATATGCATGTATATGTGCGTATGTGTGTGTGTGTGTCTCTGTGTGTGTGTGGGTGGGTGTACCTACGTCCGTGCAGATGGATGGATTGATGGATGGATGGACCCAATGGATGGAT